GCTCCTGGCTAGCATGAACTGAGCTGTTCTGCTGTCATACCTTCTCTGATTTCTGTTTCAGAACAGGCTTAGAAACAATGAACCTGAGTGGCCATGGACTGAAACCTCTGAAACTATGAGCCAAAATAAATCTGTTCTCTTTTAAGTTGTTTATCTTAGGTATTTGGTCACAATGACACAAAGCTGACAAGGACAGTGTTCCTATATTTGAATTTTCTATCCTCAAAGAAAGGCGGAAAACAAGTCTGTATAAAATTTGATTTACCTGCTGGTTCCTAAACTGGGTAACAACAGATCTCAATGCATCACTGCTATTCAAGGGGTGCCCTGGAATACATTTTAAAAAAAATTTTTTTTCTCGCAGTACTGGGAATTGAATCCAGGGCCTTGTCACTAAGCTATATCCACAACCCTTTTTTATTTTTTGAGACAGTGTCTCACTAAGTCACTAAGACTTGCCTAGTTGGCCTTACTGATTTCAACACTATAAACCATGACGTTTAAAATCTCATTTAGGATTCTAAATCTTCTTTGTTGAGTGGCTGGGGTGTGTGTGTGTGTGTGTGTGTGTGTGTGTGTGTGTGTGCTGTTTTGAAAATAAAATATGCAGGCACCATACCACACACCCATAATGCTACCACTCCAGAGGCTGAGGCAAAAGATTGCAAATTCAACACAGTCTGGGGAACTTAGTACGACAGTGTCTCAAAATAAATAAAAAGGGCTGGAGATGTAGCTCAGTGACAAAGCAGTCCTAGTTCAATCCGCAGTATTGAAAAGACAAAAGAAAATGACATTATGAGGCCACTAATATAAAACATACAAAAATATTACATAATACCTACAGATAGTACATACATATACACATATACATGTTTGCATTTGAATGGTTTCAACTGACTTTGATATTTTTATTTCATTTAAAACTATTACAGTCAAAAATGTTAAAAATGATTTAACAGGGGCTGGGAATTTAGCTCAGTGGTTCTGCCACCTGCTTCGCAAGCGCAAGGACCCGAGTTCGATCCCTGGTACCAAAAAAAAAAAAAAAAAA